GGGACAAGCCGAGATGGCCCAGACCCACCCCCTTGTCCCCATGAGGTGACCAAGTGTCCTCAGGGGGTGGCCCAAGGCCACCAGGTGCCACCTCGGGGTGTTTCAAGGCCACCAAGGGCCCCTATGACATGTTCCAGAGCCACCAGGTGCCACCTCGAGGTGTCCCAAGGCCACCAAGGGCCCTGGGACATGTCCCAGGGCCACCAGATGCCACCTCAAGGTGTCTGAGGGCCACCGGCTGCCACCAAGAGGTGTCTCAGGATCACCACGTGACCCCAGAAAGTGTCCCAAGGCCACCAGGTGCCCCCAGGAGATGTCCCAAGGCCACCGGGTACCACCTTGAGGTGTCCCAAGGCCACCGGGTGCCACCTTGGCCTCTCACAACATCACCAAGGGCCTCTAGGACATGTCCCAGGGCCACCAGGAGATGTCCCAAGGCCACCGGGTTCCACCAAGAGGTGTTCCAAGGCCACCAAGGGCCCCTAAGACAAGTCCCAGGGCCACCAGGTGCCACCTCAGGGTGTCCCAAGGCCACCAGGTGCCCCCAGGAGATGTCCCAAGGCCACTGCGTGCCATCTTGGGCTCTCCCAACATCACCAGGGGCCCCTAGGACATGTCCCAGGGGCACCAGGTGCCACCTCGAGATGTTCCAAGGCCACCAGTTGCCACCTCAAGGTGTCCCAAAGCCACGACGGGTGCCACCCACCCATAGGCGCGCGCACCCAAGGGTACTCACCAGGAAGAGGTACTGCAGGCCGTAGATGATGGAGTTTATCGTCAGGACCGGCTTCCAGTCCTCTCTGGGGACAGAACCAGGCATCACAAGGGCCACCAGGGCCACCACAATGGTGGCCGTGGCCACCACGAGGTGACCATGGCCACCCCACGCCACAATCGAGGTGCACCAGGCAACCGTTTGCCCCTTTTCTCCCACCCTGCCAGGTCTTCTAGGGACCGGATCCTGTTGTGGCTACCTTAGATGTGGCTGTGGCCAACCCGGAGGTGGTGGTGGCCACCCTGGGTGTGGCGGTGGCCCACCTGAGGATGTTGAGGCAGACGTTGCCCTCCAGGTCGATGTTGGGGTGATAAACCATCGTCTCACACTTGACCTTCGGCGGGTCGTGGGGGTAGCCCTGGCCAACCTGGGAGGTGGGGGGAGAGGGCACAGTGTCACGGCTAGGCTCCATTGTGGCCACCGGCCATGTCTTGGTGGCCACCAGACCCTACACCAAGCCACAGCATGGCCATGTGGTTTCTAGTCATGTCTTGGTAACCACTGGTCTCATAGTGGTGGCCACCAGCTCCCAGAACGTGCCCCCAACCCACACGTGGCTGCTTGTCATGCCTTGGTGGCCACAGGTCACACTTTGGTGGCCACCAGACCCTACGTCAAGCCACAGTGTGGCCACCCGTTTTCTATTCATGTCTTGATGGCCACTGGTCTCACAGTGGTGGCTGCCAGCCCCCAAACCCTGCCCCATACTCAAACATGGCTGCTTGTCACACCTTGGTGGCCACACATCACATCTTGGTGGCCACCAGACCCTACACCAAACCCCAGCATGCTGGTGGCCACTGGTCTCACAGTGGTGGCCACCAGCTCCCAGAACCTGCCCCCAACCCACATGTGGCCACTTGTCATGTCTTGGTGGCCACAGGTCACGTCTTGGTAGCCACCAGTTTCTCATCCCTGCCTCAAACCACACAGCAGAGGTGGCCAATGGCCACATTTTAGTGGTCACTAACCCCCAGGCCCCATCTTCAACCCACACAGAAGGACACGTGGTCTGCTCAAGTTTTGGTGGCCACCAAGTGCCCCCCACCCCACCTCCAACATATAGAGTGGACACATGGCCACAGGTCACATCTTGGTGGCCACCAGACCCTATGCCAAGCCACAGCGTGGCCACGTGGTTTCCAGTCACATCTTGGTGGCCACCTGTCT